CAAATTTGAACTGACACTGTCATTTCAATTTTCATAAATTGTTGCTTTTTCTTATAATCTATTTCCCCCGCTATTTCTTTGAGTTTCTCTTTGCCCTTTGAAAAGATCTGGACAGGCTCAGACTAGGAAATACGTAGTCTTTTATAATTATATATATTATTTATATATCAAGAAGACCATGATACTGCCTTCTCTGATATGTTTCGTGACGCAAAACTATCTCAACCATGTAATTCCTTCTTTGTTTCTCAAATTTGATAACCAGTCAAGTAACTATTAGTCACTAAAAGCATCATAGAAGACGAGAAATTTGTATAAATGATATTTCAATATCTAGACAAAACAGCATTCGTTTGAGTATTGTGCCGATTCAACACAAAACAATACAAAATAATTTTTAACACAGTGATGAAATTTAATGTATAGTCAATTTGTAGCAAACAATATAACACGAAGTAGAAACATCAAACAGCGGTACATTACTGATGGTCGCCACCGGGCCACGCCCTTTTTCCCGTTATGCGGTGTTCACACTTAAAGGAGTAACGAAGTCGAGTAAGGCAAAATTTCTAGTTCCAGCAGGTCGGGGCCACTCTGAATTCATTTCGCCGAGCAATCGGCCTCCCTCCTCGAGTGATATTTCACGCTCGCCGTTTGAAATTATTACACTGGAAGCTTGCCGAGCTTTTCAAACATGCTTAAAATTTTTGCTGAGCGAAAAAAGAGTCGCCGAGTCTATAACTTGCTCGGGGACAACTAGGGGAGCACTCGGGGAGTGTCGGAAATAGCTCGGCGTGCAAAGTTGCATACGTTGCCGAGTGACAGTGACATGTCGACGAGATCTGAAAGGTAGTCGTGTTAAAATTCATACTCTGCGGGTTAAATTATTACTCGCTGTGTAAAAAATCTTGCACGGGGAGTCTGAGTTACTCAAGCACGGCGTGCAAAAGTTGACACGACGAGCATGTAACTATTTCCTGTAACCAGGTATCGAAGAGTGACAATCAGCTTGATGTCAGCTTTCAGTGACTGCCTCCAGAAAGTGTTTGCCTTGTGGATGGTGGGGCCAATTTTCTCCAGTAGTTCTTGGAAAAACTCTGAAAAACTGCTCTGATAAGGTTCCTGAAGGATGCCACATCTTCAACTTGCAGTTCAGCCATCAGCTTCTCAAACAGTCCTAAGTTCTTTTAAGCCAAGGTATAACCCAACAGGTCCTCCGCCTTCTCTTCTTCCTCCTCATCTCCTCTTCTTGCACCAGCACAACAGCAAGGGTACCATTGTTATTAATACATGGAGTATACATCCATCGTCTCTCATATGAGGCATGTTTAAGGAATGAGCACAAACATTTTGCCCCCCCCCCCCTCTTT